GACCTTGTGATCCCAGCTCCATGGGGGGCAAGAAAACACTACAGGAGGAAGAAGTAATAAAGAAAAAAAATTTTAAAAAAACCTTCAAAGTGATAAAGTTGAAATTAAAATAAAAAGACTTTGTCTCAAAAAATAATAAAATAAAATAAAATGTTGAAAAACTACTTTCTATAATGGCCATTCTGCACAGAAAATTAAGAACTGAGACTGAATTTGGCAATAGTTCTTCCTCACAGTTCCAATCAACTCCTATTTATTTTTCTCTGAACAGGGCTTGCAGTTTCCAAACCAGACATGATATCCTATTTGGAGAATGGGAAAGGACCATGGGCCATGGTGAGAGAAATCACAAGAACCCCCTATCCAGGTGAGTTAATCAGAGTCAGGAAGGTGGGACTTATTTCAAGTAATAGGTCATGGAGGGATATTCAGCAGAACATCTGAAATATTTTAAGCAGTATCTTTGCTCAAAGCTGTCTCAGCAGAAAAAAATCCCCCTGTCTCTCAGTCCATCTTTCTCACTCCCTCTTCAGTCTCCCTCTCTCTTTCCTCCACTTTTTCCCTCTATCCGACTTTCTGCTTTTTGGGGAATATGATTTTCATAATTATTCCTTCATTTCTTCTTTATTCAAACATGCGTAAAATACCCTTTCAGTTCTATCTTCTCCAGTTAACTTAACATTTTTTTCATTTATTTCACTGATACCTCACCTTTCTTCCTTCATTTTCCTGAAAATGCTCTCATAAGGGTCCCCACTGATGTTTTTTAAGGTAAACCTATTTCCTCATTATTTAACTTTCTTTACTTGTAAGACTGCTGAAACCTTGGGGAAGCCCTCTTCCTGTCTTCCAGGTTCTTAACTAATTGGGAGTACAAGCAAGTAGTCAGTTGAGATTCAAATGTAATATTCATTTCTTTAATCAATATTTATTATACATCTGTAGGCTGTAATCTGGATTAGATACTAGGGCTTACAGCAGTGAATAAAATGGACCAGATGGTGGTCCCTTCATTCTCCCTCATGAAGATTAAATTTTGGGCAATTGGCAATTAGCAAATAAATAAAGACAAACTAAATTGTGGCTGCAATGCCTTTCAGCTGTGAGATAAACTGGGGTGATATAAGGGTACCTCCCTTAGACATGGTGGTCAGGGGAGCTTCTGGAGGAGCAACATTTAAGCTGAGGCCTAAAGGGTCAGAAGAAACCAAAGGAGGGCAGCAGAGAAGAGAAACATTCCAGGCAAAGGGAACAGGAAGGCCAGGTCCTGATACCGAAAAGTATATCATGTTGTTCCAGAAATCAAAGGAAGTTGTTGTGGCTGAAGTGAGGTGAATTGGTACAGAAGAAAGTCAGAGAATCAGGAGCTGTCAGGCCTTTGTAGATGATCTAAGTAAGCACAAAAGCATGGAAAGTATTTTTAGAAAATAACTGTTTATGGAGCTAGAACTTAAGGGTGCTGCTTTATGCAGACAGTAAGTTGAAGTTGTTAGAGTAGTCTAGGCAGGAGGTGATAGTAACTTTGAGTAGGGTGATGGCAGTTAGAGATATCTGAGAGAAATGGATTCAAGTTCATTTGAATATTCATTTTATTATAATGCCACTCATAACTCATATATGTGTTACATATTATGTATATTCTTTTTATATATCAAATATTATGTATACTTAAGAGTGAGTAGACACTGGAGATAGTTTTAGACAACTCTTTAGAGAAGGGTTTTTTTTCCTCCTGTGAAAAGGGAAGGAAAAATGGAGCAGGAACTAAGGAAAGAATGGAGTCAAGAAACAGTGCTAGCCCTGGGGGTCTGCCCCTGTGGTCCTGGCCAATCTGGAGGCTGGAAGGGTTGCAGGGGTAGGGATGGAATTGCTTGAGCTCAGGGGTTGAAGGCTTCAGTGAGCTATGACCATGATCGCACCACTGCACTCCAGCCCAAGTGACAGAGACCCTCCATCTCTTAAAAATGATATAAAAATTAAAGAAAAAGAGCACCCATTTTATTTTTGAGATGGAGGTTTCTGTGGCATGTGTGAGTGCTAGTAGGATTACCTGAGTGGAGAGGGAGAAATAGATATTGCCAAAGACAAGATCACTAAAGGACTAAATTGTTTGAGGAAGTTTTGGTTTTTTTTTTAACCTGCCACCTCTGATATATGGGGCCAGCACCCTACTCCTTGAGCCACAGGTGCCACCATGTTTGAGGAAGTTGAAGGAGATAAAACCTAGAATGTAAAAGAAGAAATTTACCTTGAATAGGGAGGTCACTCCTGTGTTGTAACACTGGGGATGATGGAGAAGATGGGTGCACACACGGGTCCACTGATGATGGGAAGATCAAGGCATCTATTGGGATAGTTGCCATGTTTTCTAAGATGCGAGGCAAGATCATCAGCTTATAGTGAGGGAAGAGTCATGGGAGAAGGAAACTTATATTTCTTATGGGACATGGAATTTACCAGAAAGCCATCTTGGCCTCATGCTTTTATTGTGAGAGATGTTTAATGGCAGCTTCTATATCTTTAGTATTTATAGGACTATTCATATTTATTATGTCCTTTTTTCTCAGTTTAGCAAATTATATTTATCTAGGAATTGTTCCATTTAATCTAAATGTTAATCTTATTGGCATACCTCCTTGCTATCTTTTAAATGTTCATGTGGATCTGAAGTGATGGTCCACATCTCATTCCTGACATTGATTTTGTTAGTCTTTCTAGAGTTTATTTTCTTATTTTTTTTTTTTATTAAATCATAGCTGTGTACATTAATGCAATCATCGGGCACAGTGTGCTGGTTTTACATACAATTTGAAATATTTTCACCAAACTGGTTAGCATAGCCTTCATGGCATTTTCTTAGTTATTGTGTTAAGACATTTATATTCTACATTTAGAAAGATTCACATGTGCCCCTGTAAGATGGACCATTGGTGTGGTCCCACCAATCACCCTCCCTCTACCCATCCTCCTGCCTCCCCTCCCCTCAGTTTGCTTTGAAAGAACCATTTGTAATCTTTTTCATTATATTTTATCTGTTTTATTACTTTCTGCTCTTTATTATTATTTCACTTTTTTACCTTCTGAAGGTTTAATTTGTGGATCTTTTGTAACTTCTTGAATTAGATACTTATATCATTGATTCTTGGCCATTCTAATTATTAGAGCTATCAGGAATATATCACACTTTTTATGTAGCATCTTCATAATTTTTGAGTTTAATATATTTAATGATTTCTATTGTGGTATCTTTGACCTTTGAGTTATTTAGAAGTGTTTTTCTTAATTTTGTACCATTTGGGAATTTTCTGCTAATCTTATTGTCTTTAATTCTCCTGTGGTCAGAAAACATGCTATGTATTCTTGCAGCCTTTGCAGGTTTCCTCAAACTTGCTTTACTTACCGTAGGGTCAATTTTTGGAAACATTTTGTATGCACTTGAAAAAAATGTATAGTCTTGGTATTGAGTACAGGGTTGTAGATATGTCAATAGGCTGAGTTTCTTAATTATCTTGCTAAAATGTATATACTTAAAACTTAAATTCTATTGGTTAAGAAAGATAATTTTTAAGTCTTCTAGGGAGACTGTAAATCTGTTTCTTACATTAGTTCATTTAATTTTTTCTTTATGTATTTCAAAGCTATGTTATTAAGTAAATGCAAAGTTAGAATTGTTACATCTTTCTGGTAAATTGCCATTATGAAAAATGTCTTCCTTGCTAATGGTTTTTCTGTTAAAGTCAGTTTTTCCAGTATTTCTGTAGCATCTTTCCTTTGTTTGTTGTTTGTATAGTGTATCTTTTTTCATCTGTTCACCTACACTTTCTTTTATAAGTAGCATATTATTAATTTTTTTAACTGATCTGACAGTTTGTGTCCTTGGAGTGTTCAGTTCACTTGTAAGTAATACATTTATATAATCTGTTAATTCCACCATTTAACTGTGAAAGTGTTTTGCCTTTTCTGTAATCTTTATCTTCCCACTCATGACTTCCTTTGGATTTATCACCCTTTATCGATTTGCCCCCTCTAGTCACTTTGTAGTTATAACATTTTAAATTACTGGTTCAGTGGTTAACATTGAGATTAAAGCATACATCCTTGGCTGGATACAGGTGGCTCACACCTATAATCCTAGCACTCTGGCAGGCCAATGGGGGTGGATTGCCTGAGCTCAGGAATTCAAGACCAGTCTGAGCAAGAGTGAAATGCCTTCTCTAATAAACATAGGAAAACTTGCTGAGCATTGTGGCAGGTGCCTGTAGTCACAGCTACTTGGGAGGCTAAGGCAAGAGGATTGCTTGAGCCCAAGAGTTTAAGGTTGCTGTGAGCTGAGCTATGATGCTGTGACACTCTACCCAGGATGACAAAGTGTGACTTAGTCTCAAAAAAAAAAATAATTTTTTTTTAAAGCATGCATTTGATTCAATAGTCTAATACAAGTTTTTACTTCTTCCCAAGCAACACAAGCACTCAAAAACAGCTTATTCCATTTAACCTCACATATATTTTTGAAGTTATGTATTTTACTTCTATATATGTCAGATCACATATTCATTTAAACTTACCCATATTTTTACCTTTCCTCTCTCATTTTTTCATTGGTGAGCTTACATTTGAGATTATTTTTCTCCTACCTAAAAAACACCCTTTAATATTTCCTTTTATTCATATATGCTTGTGTCACATTCTTTATTTGCCTAAAATATCTTTATTTGACCCTTATTTTTGGAGACTCTTTTTGGTAAGTTTAGAATTTTAGGTTGGCAGTTATATTCTTTCAGCATTTCAGAGGTATCATTTCATTGTTTTCTGTCTTATTTCTGCAAGTAAATATCTTGAAGAAAATTTCTAATTGCTAATATAGCCTTTTGTATCCTAAGCTTTTATAATTTTAGTGTATTTTATAGCAGTTTTGCCTGCTTTGCAAATTTATATTCATTTGACCTTGTAAATTTATTAGTTCCTGAATCCCAAGTTGTCATTTTTTTTATAACTCTTATTCTGACAGAAAAAAAATTCTTATTAGATAATGGCAAAATAATGTGCTAGGACAACAAAAATGTATACTCAAATAATTAAAACTATTAAAAGGTAAAAGTAAAGAATGGTAAAATATAAAATATTTCTGCATGACAGAAAATTAATTTTCATTTTATATACACAAAATAACTTAAAATTTATTGCTTCCATGTAAGTTTTAAAGTCATAAAACCATGTTTCTGTCCACAGAATTTTTCTGTTGAACTTAGACATGATTACCTAAAAATGAATTAACAGTTTTTAAAAGTATAAAAATGTCTTTTAAAATATATTAAATTGGGGCAGTGCCTGTGGCTCAAAGGAGTAGGGTGCCAGCCCCATATACCGGAGGTGGCAGGTTCAAATCTGGCCCTGGCCAAAAACTGCAAAAAATATATATATTGGCTTGGCACCTGTGGCTCAAGTGGCTGAGGTGCCAGCCACATACACCTAAGGTGGAGTGTTCGAATCCAGCCCGGGCCTGCCAAACAACAATGATGACTGCAACCAAAAAAATAGCCGGGCATTGTGGCGGGCGCCTGTAGTCCCAGCTACTTGGGAGGCAGAGGCAGGAGACTCACTTGAGCCCAGGAGTTGGAGATTGCTGTGAGTGATGCCACAGCACTCTACCCAGGG